AAGTATATATATATATACTATTTTGCTCATTACATTCACTAAAATTTATACTTCAATTGTTTTGATAAAATGGTTATCACAGAAGCATTTTCAACTTGCTATAAATTAAATATTGCTGTTGAATCATAAATACATAATGAATTAATGTTTTTAATGAACTAAAAAAAAATGCTAAACAAATTTTTTTGACTGACAAATATGAGACGAAATAGTAATAAATAAAATAAAATAAAATTATATCTTAAAAATGACAAAGTTAAATTTTATGACTTGGAACCCATTCCAGATATGCTATATTGGAGATTTTTGGGTTTTTTTTTCTTTAATTAAGTACCAAATTTCAATCCCTTTAATGCAGAAATTTGCAACTTTAATTGTTTTAGGAATCTGAAAATATTAATAAATAGGCAGTTAATTCGGTACTTCATGTATATACTTCAGAGGATTTCACAAATCCTTTATTTTTCTTTAATTTTGCCTTACACTTGTATTCTCAGTTTCTGCAAGAAATATGAATTTTAAAAAAAATAATGTAAGGACTTTTATAAGTTTTTGTTAGTATGTGAAAAATCATGACGTAAGTCAGTGTATAGAGAGAAAAACTCTGGTAAAGTTATCATACTTGTTTGGTACTGACATTTCCGAAAAAAAAAGTCATAGTTCTAGTAATGAAATCAAAATATACGGTATTTGAACAAGTCATTGTAATTTTTCCATCCGTATGTTAATTGGTTTACCGAAAATTTTAGTTTTCAAAACTATAGTTCTCGCTACCCAACATATATGTTGAAAATACAAAACCAAAAGCGAAAATTGACCAATTAAGTATATGGTTTTTATGCCATCATGTAAAATATCATGATAAAATTATCAAAAATTTCTTCAAAGATGTTCCTCATTTTACCACTGATTTTTTCATTTTTAAACTTATGGTAACCATGCCTTTTACGAAGTAGTATAGTGTTAGTACTTTATTTACGTTGCACTAGTGCTGCACAATTGATTGAAGAATATTAGCGATGATCTGGGAAATATCCCTGAGAAGGATCCGAAGACTTATCATCACCATTTTGATCCTTAAAAGAAGGAATGGCTCCTCGCTGTAGTAGCCCAAAGACCTGCGGTTGAAGTCCAGTAATTTCAAGCAGAACTGCCTAAGGAGGACCTATTAGGCGCGTCAGTGAGCTCTTGGCAGGCTGATCAAAGTGCTCACCCACCCGCTCACTAACCGCACCTAAAACCCTGGATACTTCGATAAAATAGAGCTACTCTTTTCCACGCGACCTTAGTGTCTCTTTCGATTTTAATTGGCTGCCCCCATTCACTTAGGTAAACTGCTGACATTTTGTTGATTGGCTTGAACGGCGAAGTATGATAACGACCGATTTGTAATTTTTATTTTCGCTTTTCTTTTAACTTTTATTGTTTCATACTTTTAATACAATAATTAAAGGTTGCTGCGTGCTAAAATATGTAAAAATTAGGCTTTAAGTTATATCGCTAACCTGTTGGAGACTCATGGATTGAACTAGACTCATGGAACAGGGGAAAGTGTTACAGCTTCTGTTGACCGAAAGTGACCTGGAGCACCAAAGGTAGAAGACTGATTTAGCTCCATAGTTTAACCTGCTAGCATTACCTGGGCATAACGGAATGGCCTTCATGCCTAGGGTGGCCTTAGGCCCTACCTGGAGCTAAGCTCCCGACGTACTTCTCCCATTCCGCCCAGTGGCACCCCCTCGCCACGGTGAGGCAGCTGGCAGGATTTGAGGGGGAACACCTTTGCAACTGGATGAATGTTGGAGACAGGGCTGCTGCTTCAATTTTTAGAATGCTCCTCAGGCTCTCAGCGGACTTTGGGGTACACTTCCAGTGGATTCCATCACACACGTTGGAATCAAAGGTAACGAGATGGTGGACTCACTGGCTAAAGATGCTTCTTTTGAACTTTTACAGCTAGATATACCTTCCACTTTCAATGAGGTCTTTGCAGAGTGCAAAAAAAATGTTTATGGACCTCTGGAGGGTTCCTCCTCCACATCGTTGGTATTTTAGAAAACGTCCTGGAGGTTCTTTGCTTTTTGAGGGACCTAGAACCCAGCAGACTTGTTTCTCTCGCTTTGCAAGTGGTCGCTTGAGGTGTCTCTTGTATGTTCAGGGGCGAAAGACTTATGGACTTTACACTAAATGTAGAACTGCTCAAGCTTTGCCCGAACATATTCTAAACTGTATCGATTTTAAGATCGACGAGGTTTTTTCAAAACCTCACCTGTTTTTAGACTTTCTGGAAATTTTTGGACATATGCATTTGGTCTAATTGGAATGGACCTTTGAGGATTAGAAACAACTACACCAGTTGGAGATCGCAATAAAGAACGACTGAGAGTATGGTCGCGTAGAATTGGCAGAGATAAATGTACTCCAAACGATACTAAGTATGATCAAATTTTATCTTAAAAAAATGCTGAGCAAAATAATTGTCCCATTATATTTCAGACATTATATTTAGAAACTTTTGAGTCTGCTAAACAATTTTCTGAAATTATTTAAGCCTTGTTTCCCTAAATGTTTTATTTTAAATCATTTACTGTAAAAAATAAATATATTCAAAGTTTTTGAAATAAACTTTTACGAAAAAGTTTTTTTTAATTTGATTTGATTATGCAAAATCATCAATTAGTAGTGGCATTCAAAGTGAAATACATATTGAAATGCTTTTCCTAGAAAGTCAGTTGCAACAGAAACGATTTCCTTTTATTTATTTTGAATATTAAAAACAATTTTTAAAATTTATAATTTCCAACCAAGCCATAACTTCCCACCAAAATTTCAAACAATACGTATAAATTATTGTCATCACTTTTTAATTATAATTTTTATTGCATTAATTTCTTACTTAACTTCGCAGTTTGTTTCATAAATTACAAATTCAGTACATACACATTACTATATACTAAGTTAATTTTAAAATTGTTGAATACCAATATTCAAAGTTTATTCATTCTTAATTTATCTATAAATGTTTACTTACCTCGTACGTTTACTTCCTCAGCCAGAGCTGAAACAAATAAGAATTGGTAAACATTTGCACTTCCACCATACAATTCATTTCGTTCAAGTTTTGAATTACGTATAAATAAAAACAGTCGGCTTAGTTTCAAAATTGTACGGAAAAAAAGTTATTAAAACCTCTTACCGTATGTATTACTAAAATCACTATTTATGTTTTATGAATATTTTCAGTGCATTTAAAATATGTTAGAATTTCGATTTTCTTTCAAAATTGTTTCTATGATAAAGTCACATTTTAATTTAATATTAAATACTTTATATATGTTTATTTTAACAATTAATTTTCCTTTCAAATGCAACTTTTCATTGCATAAATTTCTGGTAGATTATAGCACATTTTAAAGTAAGACAGAGATATGTCTATAGCAGCGATTCCAAATTATTTTCCTATTCGTTTCGTTAGTTTGTACTTTTCATAATCAATGGCAAATTTTGAAACCTCTGGTTAAATATAGATCTAACCTATAAATAATTTACTGAATTTTTCAGTTACCTTTATGACCAAGCGGTCGGACATACCATACTGTCCATTAAAATTGCTTCACAAGGAACGTGACACACCACGAACGTGAAATTTACAGGACGGATAAAGCATGTTGTGATATGCAAATGAGTAGCTTATCAGCGCATTCATGCAAAGCAGACGGTGATAGCGACACCTACAATGTGTATAAAAGAAGAGATTAGACAGTAAGTTTCTCATGCAGAAATTGAATTTGAGCGTTGTTCTTGGGTGAAAGAGTTTTTGTTATGCCTCGTGTAAGAAGGAAAAATGTCTACCAGCACGTGTCTGAGTTTGATTGAGGTCAAATTGGGGCCTACCGGGAATGCGATTTATATTACCGAAGCATTGCTGCTCGCGTTCGTCGAAATCTCATGACTGTTAGGGGAATATTGAATCGATGGGTTCATGATGATCATAGGGAAAGCCGTGCAGGATCTCAGCGGGCCCCCATCACTAACAGTCGACAAGGCAGACATGTTATCCACATGACCTTAGGGATCGTACAGCTAGGTCACAAACCCTCAGTCAACAAATCGGGTCATTTGCAAGACAACAAGTGTCTGCACTAACAGTTCGACGACGTTTGCAGTACGGACTGTCAGCACGGAGACCATGACTTCAGCTACCATTGACGCTGCATCACAGTCAGGAGCGCCCCCAATAGTGTTATCAACGACGAACCGGGACGCAGAAATGCATGACGCCGTCTTTTCAGACGAATCCTGTTCTGTATATAGCATCATGATGGCCGCATCCGTGTTTGGCGACATCGTGGAGTACGCCCATTGGCAGCTTGCAATCGACATCGTTATACTAGGCTCTCACCTGGAGTAATGGTATAAGGTGTCATTATATACACGTCTTGATCACCCTTTTGTTCGCATTGCCGGCTATTTGAACAGCAACCGTTACATTTTTGAAGTGTTAGGGCCAGTTTCTCTTCCTAAACTTCGAAGCCACCATAACGCTACGTTTCAACAAGACAATGAATTCTGAAAATTTAATTACTTGTTCTTCCAACTGCGTTGTATGGGACCAATAAATATCATTCTGTTATTTGCATTCCTTCCTGGTGCAGCAATTTTAATGGCTAGTAGTGTATTAAATATAACTTTTGCTCGCATCACACTGTGTGTGAAGCTCATCGTTAAAATCTAAATCCCTTAAAAAATCTCTATAGCGGTATTTATAAATATATATTTTTTGCACAAAAAATAATGATTGTTAAACGGTTAATAAGATTAGACATTTTTTAAATAACTTTATGTTAAAATGTAGATCAGAATTTCGTCATAATAATAATAAAAAATAACCATTCTCTAAGTTTTAAACTCTTAAATCAAAAGCGTAATGATAGCACTACAGGAGAATACCTTTAAATTAGGGATACACAAATATTTAACCTTTGTAACTTTAACTTTATGCTTATGACAACCAAAACAATATGGAAATGAATGAGGAAAAACAGGATCCTACCATGTGAATTTTTTGTCAATAAAAATGCACCGAAAATAATGGAAAACTGTGTTAGACCACTATGTTTTTATGTTACACGGAGAAATTTTCTAAATGTGTGATATTTTTAAAAAATATATGTCTAATAAGATTTGATAAGATGTGAGATATTTTGTAATAAATATTATGTAATTAAAGAAATTTTGAAAAACTTATTTCTATGATATAATAATCATTGTTACATAAAAAATTTAGAAAAAAAAAACAGTTATATTTACTCCCCAAAACATAAAGTTGCCGATGTTCTGAAACTATACGCATAACAATCTCAACTTCTCAAAATTCTGAGAACTAATTAAACTAGATTCAAATGATTTGGAAATCCCATGATGTGAGATATTGTGATGTTTATTTATTAAAGAAATAAATTACATAACAGAAAACCCAAATTCTAAGACTTTGAGATGGATATACCGAATGAAATAATCTGCAGAAGTTTAGGATATATATCATTCTACGGGAAACAAATATCAGCAATAAAGAGTCATAATTTATTCTTCTGTTTTAAAGTATGAAAAATTCATAAATCGAAATGTCATAAAATATGAAGGATACGTGAAAAACATCGCACCGAATAATGTTGAACGGATTTAACTCTAACTACAAAGAAGACTATCCAGCTTAGATTCAGAAATTTTTTTATAAAGAGGAACTTCTGATTTCAGATTTTGCTTCAGAGATGCTAAAATTAATTTCACCCATAAAAACATTTTTTTTCATAAAATCTAATACCGTATATTTTACAGTAATAAATATTTAACTGCAGTGATTCAGGGATTTTACAACAAATATTACTGTAAAAATTTGGTATATCAGTTTATTTGTTCCATAAAATTATACGATAAAAAGGAACTTTATGGTAAAAAAGCACCGGCACCCTAGGTGCCGGTACTTTTGCGATGTTGAACCGGTGCTAAGTTGAAATCTCAAAACAAGAAATGTCATCTAAAATATGCTAATTAGTTTGCGATAATTTGGGTAAATGGTATTTTAAGTTAAGAAATCAAGTACAAAAACATAAATAACGTATAATACGTATAATACCCTTAATAAATAACATATATATTAGTTTTATTACCTGAATTATGCTTTTTCTTACCACAAATTCATTTAACATACAGTATGTTAATTTTATTGGAATTTTTTTCTCCGAGCAGTATGACTTAAATGAGTGGTGACTGAAGGACATTTAAATGAGACGTCAAAAAGAGGAACCTCGGCAGTGTTTCTGCTCATTGACAACAAATGCGTCTCGAAGTCATTAGAAAATTTTTATAATCTGAATGAATATTACAAAAATTCTACCCTGATTCTTCCTGATTTTAAATGTAAAGACAGTAGGTGGTAATCAAAAAATTATTTTCATGATGCTTGAACAACAAGCAATGTATAAAAAGTAACTAAAAATCCAGATAACAGTAATCACTCGCTCAAAGAGGAGTGATAAAGTAAAACCTCAAACTAAAAATTGAATTTAAGAATGTTTGCTTAATCCTAGTAAAGTGTTCTTGCCTCCATTTTCCCTCAACCTTGCCTTAACGAGAAAAAAAATCAGCAGTTTAGCAAAAAATGCTGCAACTTCGTAGCTGCTTTTTTCCTAGTTTGTTAAGCACCCACGTATAGTATTTTTAATTTCAAGTTCAGCAATTAAATATTCTCTGTCTGGGCATCAACTGCAAGTTTTTTTATCCATCAAACTTCCCATATATATCCTACACACTTTTAAAAGTTCACGATTGTTTGTTACGTTTTGCGCTCGTGGTCATGTTAGTATATGCGCAGCAAGACGAAATTTAAGGTGAAGTTGAACACTCAAAAATGTGGCAGCCGCAACTCTGGTGATTTCTTATTATTTAGAGAAACTTCCTTGCACATTTTTTTTCTAATTTTTTTCCTTTTCAAAATGAATCTTTTTTTTCCTCATAAGTTATGTTTTTAAAATTAAATAGGTGAATGTAGTGACAACACTTGATCACGTAAATGTTACACTAGCACGAAGATTTTAGATTTGTGAAGGTAGATATTTTAAGAAATAGATATAATAATAATGGATATAATAATTTTATTTCAATAATAGATATAATAATAATAGATAAAAATAATTTTATTTCAGCAATAAATATAATAATAATAATAGATATTTTAAAGTATTAAATTGGTTTTAATTGCACTGGCTTAGTTTAAATTGGTATTTACACTATAAAATCCTGGATCAAATTATGGGAAAAAGTCCCAGCAAGCAAGGTGCTGGTACTTTTCACCATGGAATCCTATTTTTATCAGAGTGTGTTACGGAACAAAAAAATTTGATATATCGCATTTTTTTAGAGCAATAAATGCCCTATAATCACTGAGTCACTTTAAGTAAATCAATATTACTGGAAAAATTACGATATAAAAAATGGATTTTATTGCAAAATGGATTTTACGGATGATGCACTCTAAGTGTCAGTACTCTATGCCATAATTTGGTCCGGAATTTCACACTATGTAATAGATTTGTCTAAACATCAGTAGTTGTTCAGTTTTCTAATTCAAGTGCAAAATCTGTTAAAATGTATTTTTTTTTTGCTTTCGTTTTATTTGTCTCTTTTTAAAGGATATGATTAATATAGATCAAGCATATATCTTTGATTTACTTAAATCAGATTTTTAGAGTATTCAGCATCTAAAAGATACATTAATTTGAACTTTTCTGTGAATTCAGTCTTTGCAAAAAAGACTATTTTTATGAATGAGAGTCAAAAAAATTTTAACAGAAAGATATGCAATTTTTTTGTCATTTAAAATAATATAATTATAATTTTACATAATAAAATGAGCAGTAATAAGTACAATCAGCCAGTAATAAGCATGGTAACTACAATGAGCAAAATCAGCCAAATTATTTCTAAATAATGAAAATACTAAAAAAACTTGAATTTTTAAATTTTCATTCTTCAAAATTCCACAGATTCTGAACTAATTTTGGCTTACCAATAAAATTACATAGTTCAAAAAAATGCGAAAAATTGAGTGCCTTCTTATCCAATTATTTTTACCGTTAATAAATTAAGAAAAAAATTTAAATAATTATTAAAAAATATATTGAATAAAATTTTCCGTGAACAAAATATTTTGAATTGCTTAAATTTATTTCCAAGCGAACGAAAAAGTCGTATGATGAATTATAAAATACGCAGTAAATGCAAGGAGTAAAACTTTTGACTAAACTATTTGATTTTCCACGAATGTGGTTACTCCTATTTTGAAGAATTTTCAGATCCGTCTAAAAAAGTGCATCGATAGTAAGTAAAAGTACGTATTTACGAATAATTTGGTAACTTATGACATTGTCTTCACATAAACATATCTAAAGGTAGACCCCTAACATAGAGATTGCAATTTAGTACCTGAAATGCTGATAATTAGTAAAGTTGTTATTAAACTGTCGCCTTTTTCATTTATACACTGTATTGTAAATAGTATAGTTATACTAAGTTTTCTTTTTGAATTTACAAATGACAAAAGTAAAAAAAATTTTTTCAGAGTTATGTATTTTATGATATTTCAATACTTTTAAGATAGTTTAAACCTGATAAACCTGAAATTAGTAATTCGTTCATTAAACATTACTTAACCATCAGCAATACTTTAAATAAATCAATGTATCTGACTGAGCTTTTAAAAAATAGTTTTGAAATACGCCTTTTATACGTCTAAAAGTAATAAAAAATGTATTAAAATAGTGGAATTTTAATAAATTATTACCATAAGTTTTCTAATAGTTTCTAATAATTTTCCTTTCCTTTTTGTAAGGGTTTTGATACATTTTTAGATGCTCAGCAGAATCCTTTGAGATTTAGATATTTTTCAGTAATTAATTTCGACAATAATTTACAAGCCTTGCTTCTACGGAGACTACAAAACACCGTAAATATAATTTTCAGAACTACATTTACTAAACAAATCAAATTTAAATTTCAATTCAAAATAATTGAATTTAAAAACTCTCCCTTAGGTAAGTTTATTTTAATTCAAATACTTTATTTAATTTCCCACAAAATAATCATAATCTGTAATTTTAATTGAATTTCTGTTGGATTTGGAGTAATTATCTTTAGGAAAAATTATTTTGTCAACATAAGAGTAAAACATATAATTAGTTTCGTATAAATTTTAAATTCAACTTACCAGCAACTATAATACTGAATATTAGGAAAATAAAAGGTATCACTTCCATCTTTTTAGAATTCTGATAGAACTAATGAAAAAAGCGTGTATTCAAAATTTATCTTCTTTATATTCATATAAAATATAATTGATGCACCTGGAAACAAGCAAATATCAATAAAATTTTTATTCCGCGGAAATGAATAAAATATACATTCACATATTCTAGTAAAGTTAATAGCAATCTTGAATTATATTAAATTAAGTTTATTTTGATGCAAGCAAATAAAAATTTGATTCAAATACATTACGTGTCGTTTAAACAGTGGACTGGATGATGTCGTTATGATATGCATTCAAGTTATCACAAGTTTGACAAAAGAATCAAATATCTTATGGTAAATCTGTAAAGCATCAAATGAATGTAATTTGAAAAATGTATGTAAACAATATTAGTTATAAGAATTTCGAAATTTTTTGGAATTACATTTATCAAGTATTTTTCTTAAATAGATTCATGTGGGTAAGACTTGGTCAAAAAGCAAAAAAGATCTCAATGTTTCAAGAATATTTTAATCAATGTAATTAAGGTTTGCATTGAGCAACACTGTAAGAAATTCCGACCAAATTACGGTATAAAGTACCAGCACTTTAGGTACACCATTTAGGTACGTGTAAAATCCCATTTTACAGGAAAATTTTTGTCGTGAAATATAATACTGTAATTTTTACCGTAATATTTATTTAGTTAAAGTGATTCTGTGATTTTACGATAATTGGTGATGCAAAAATTAGGGTATATCAGATTTTTTCAGCAATATGTTCCGTATGGTTAGCATGATTTTCTTTTTTAGAAATATGTATAGCAATAGGCATCAAAACGGGCCTTGTTATACCAAAGGATAACATATGAATCTTTATGAGATTAAATTCTTCAAATCTCTGCCAGCATTTTTACATCTACACTAGAAATGTTGAATCTTTTTGAAATTTAAATTAGCATTTTCTTCCTTTCTTTCTTTCTTTAAAAAAATCTTTCATGATAAGTGGAATTTTGATGCAAAAATGAATTTTATAACTTATAAAATCAGTTATAAAATCAGTTATATAACTTATAAAACTTATAAAATCACTATTACAACTTATAAAACTTATAAAATCAGTTATTTCTTTGAATTTACTCACTAAATAGCGATACTAAAATTATTTGATTTTCGTTTCCGTTTATTTCATTTTGGAAACAAATTCTGGGACCAAAGATACTGTGTACTGGGTAAGAATTTTATTTATTCATTTTTTTTGAAAATATCTCATTTTTTCTTAAAAGTAAATGTTTAGTAATATTTAGTTTATTTAATAATGAGTTTCAGCAAAGTTAAAGTAACAAGGAGCTTAACATTTTATTCCATATTTGTCTCTTTCTCAGAATTTTGCAATTCTGTACTATCCACTTATGAAGATAATATAAAATGTTATTTGTGTGTGCAATATGGCGCAAGACATTGTTTACTTTCTGAGAGAGATCCTAGTATTTCCGATATCAGCCGATTCATATCCTAAAACATTGAAGCAGTCTGGTTGATCGCATCAATTCCAACAGTCTCTCATGATCGCATTTTGCAACTCATTCGCGATTATCACAAGAAATATATTTACATAATTCGATAAAATAAATCTAAAAGAAACTCTAAGTTTGATTCTAAAACATAATTAAACAGAAAAAAAGTTATTCGATATTGGATCCTGAAAATCTGTAAATTTTGAAAAATATAGTTGTGAAAGGGCGTGAAAAGTTCCCGCCAAAAAATGATCCTCCTTAATTGATCAAAAAAATTTTAAAAAAATGTGTATTTGGAAAAGTTGATGAAACAGATACACATAGTGGAGTGGAAAAAATTCGAGTGGGAAAGCGAAAATAATGGAAAATAAAAACGAAAATCTGTAAATAGAGCAAAAATGGACAAATATATTATAACTAATCAATCCCAAATTTCTACGCATGGAATGCCTGACACATAAGAATTGGAAAAAAAAAGCAACAACTTCCATGACAACAAGAAACTAATCTCTATTATCTTCAGTAGAAGATGCATCGGCAGTTTTGAAAGATTATTGCTGGTTGGTATTATTACTGAAACTGATAAATCTTTAGTCTTTGATAAAAATAGAATTTGTAAAGTTCGCCAACGTAATCGCATATCATTTTTTGAGAACATTGAGAATTGAAACCTCGAAACATGTTGTAATAGGGAAACATGATAAAACTCTTCATCAAGAGAAAATTATCGAAAAATATTATAGAAAAAGCAAAAGAGAAATACATTTTGTCCTGCTTGTTGAGCCACAATCCTCATATTTAGGTCATACAATACCACTTTCCAGCTCAGATAAGAATGTAGCATTATTCATAATTGGAATATTTTTGTCCAAAAGCACAAATAATGATAATTTGCAAGCTGTGATGGTACAAAAATCGAAACGGTGTCATGAAATGTCTGGCACAGAGGATTTAGACACTGAAGACCTCTCTAATGGTTTATATGTCTTTTGCATAGGAATGAGCTTCCACTTCGGCACTTATTCTCACCCTTGATGAAGCCACGATTGGACCACGAGAATGCATAGGGCACATTGGAAAAATTAGAGCATTGTAACCAAAATGTGGTAAAATTTACCCCATAGCTTGTTATACCTGAAGTTGATGTTCAAATTCTAGATGCAGATCAAAATTTGTCTGGCATTATCTTCTGTCATATGTGATTACAGTTCAACAAGCATCCTGGAAATTTATCCCACTCAAGAAGGTACATATTGGCAAGTTCGATGCTAAAAATTTTTGAAGTGATAAGCCATCAGATAAACTAAAGATTTTAGTGGAATTTGTTCTAAGAGTTTATGCATAACGGTTTAATATTAAACTAAATTCATCGCACAACAATGGAGCGTTTCATATGAACATATTAGTTGAATCGTCAAGATATCTTAGTTTTACACATAAAGCAGTTATCGATCCCATTATACAAAGAAATGCTTGAAAAATTGACTTCTGACTATGATCAGTGATGAACGTCAGCATATCAGCTAATTAGGACAGCAGCTTATTTCAAAAGCCAGAAATAACAAAGACAAGAGCGAAACTGAACTGAGAGTTTTTCAGATTCCAATGAACAAACTTTATTTTGAAACAGTTTACTCATTATACGTTATCCTATTTACATTTCAACGCAGAATATCAGAATTTGGCTTCACATCAGAAAAAAACCATTGAATAAAACAGTCCTCTCTTTGAAATTATCTTTTTGAAAAATTTGTCAAAAAATGAAATTCTATGCTAAACAATCTCGCCAATAACACAAATATCGCAAGCAAAAAAATTAAGTGATCAAAATATTGTTTAGCTTAACATGTTCTATCATATCCTTCAATTATATTCAGCAGTTCTTCAAAAACTATATTTTGAAGTTAACTTGAGTAATTATTGTCTTTTAAATTGATGTTATCTTCCCCTTTCGTTTATTTTTCAAATGCAGTCTTATTTTTCAAAGAAGTCTTTTTCTTTTTCTAATGCTTGTCTTAAAACATATCTCTATTCTTTAAAGAATAACGAAAATTAAGTAAAACAGAAAACAGAACAATAATTTAAGCACTTTCTTATTTGAAACAAAATTGTTTAATACAATAACATTCCAGTTTATAGTCATCTTAACAAGAAAACTTATTAACAATACCCATCATTCTTAGTTGCAAACCAAAACAATTAAGAATTAAATTCTCTCTCATATAAAGGCATTTTTCTGCCACAAGAACTTCATGATAAGTTCCTTGTTTATTCCTCAAACAACACTAAATTAAGGAATAACAAGTTGACGAATCTTGTCTGCGGAAAAGAAAAGATTTCTCCCTCTGCCATTTCTACGACAAGTCTGTGACCCGTCATTTCGAATGAGGACAACGTTCCATTCATTATTTCATCTTTTGTCTGTATCCCAGGACGACCCCCTCCTGCCGTGACACAAGAAGCGATAGACGTAGGGGAGTGAAGATTTAATGGATATCTTTTGGACTTATTGTCCTCCAGGTGGAATGGTCAGGATATGTTGTGAGAAAATTGACTTCCAGGATGATTTGATGGAATGGCTATTGTTCCATTTATAGAAAAGAGTGCATAATGAATCGTTCCATTTTATCATTTATTTTATCACCATGAAAGTTGTCTAATGTTCCTTTAGTAATTTTCCTGGAATTAAATACTTTAGGTTGCTTAATTTTTCAATTGAACTAGCTTGTATTTTTTTTAAAAAAAACGCATTCTTATTTTTTAACTTTATTAAAATAGGCTTGAAATTTGGACATAATAAACTATTCCTTTAAGCTACTTAATAAATTGGAGAAAAAAAAGATAATTAAACTTATAATTTTTTTATGCTTTAAGAGTTTGCTTTTCCACAAAAAAAATTTTTTTCTTTAATATGCTTTCTGACAATGTAATTCAAGACGTAGCATTATTTTATTAGTGGGATTAATATTTATTGGATATATTATGAGCTTATTGTCGTCTTACAGGTATTGTGAAATGATGTAAATATTTCTAGCTGATTTGATAAAAATTGATGTCATTTTTAGAAAAAGATGCTTATTGAATAGTAACCAATTCATCATTTACTTTATCACATTAATGTGAAAATCCGAATTCGTTTAGTAATTATTTTTGTTTGTTCATTAAATGTGTCATAAAAAGATGCTCATTAAATGTGCCTCAGATGTTTCAGACTGAGCTATGGCATAAGTGTTATGTGAGTCCACAAGCAAGTCCAAGTTTGTAAGCAAGTCTATAATATAATTTGTAGTATATAATATTATATTATGAGCTTATTGTCCTCCTAGAAATATTGTAGAATATTAAAGATATGTAGAAAAACTACTAGATGATTTGATAGAAAGGTTATTATGCCCGTTTTAAAGAAGATATTGCATCTTTCCATCATTCGTTTTATTACATATAATGAAAGGCCGCCATCGAATGTTCATTTACTAGTTATTATTATACGTTTAGCCATAAAATATGTGATAAAAGGATACTTTCTGATTCTATGAACTTAACTATAGCATAAATTTTAGGCGGCCTAAGAAATTAATGGATATAGTATGTACTTATTAAAACCCCTAGAATTAATAGTCAGTGATTTTTGGAGAAAATCACAATATAAATTGTTCAAAGCAGTGTGGCTCAAAGGATAGATTGGGCGCCTTCTAACGAGGTGAGCCGAGTTCAAATCCCATCGGCTCGCACCAACAGGAGTGCTGACGTAAAATATCCTCAGTGCTAGAGGGATTATGGGTTAAACTTCTACTTCCTTAAAGGATAACCATGGGAGGTTTTCGTAATTTTCCTCTCCATGTAACGCAAATGCGGGTTAGTTCCATCAAAAAGTCCTCCGAGAAGACAAATTTCTTCCAATACTTGAGCCAGGATTCTAGATTTGGTTTGAAATAAGAAGGCTACAAAGTCGAACAATGGTAATCTTAAACCAAAAATTGGGTCGGCTGTTCAACGACGGTTACAAAATAGAATTAAGTATTAAAAAGCGACTTTTATGAAATGCGTAATATGGGTAATGAATTGTACCATTTCATTATTTATGAAAAGTATTCAGTATAAAAGTACATGAAAAGAATTTCATTGTACATTGGAAAGCTTTTTTTTAATAAATTTTTAAAGCTGTTTAAATATCAGATTATAAGAGTATGAAAAAAAAATGTCCTCATTTTCTACAACAGATATTTGAAAAACCAAAAGAGTCCATCCCTGCTTGCTCCGCTCAACAATCTCTTTTTTGCTTCTCTGTCTACGCGCCACCATTTGTTTTCTTAAAAAATCGATATTTTCTTTAGCAAATATCAAAGCATAACAAAGAATATTTAATAAAATATGTTCCTATAATAATTCTGTCTTTGAATATTTTGTTAATTTGTGTTAACGGTAACGAAATGAATGATTGACGAAATGAATGTGAAAAATAATTGACTGTATTTGAAAAAAATATTAAAGTTAGGAATGCAGATAGTGTACTTCAGTTAAAAGAAATAAATAAGAAGTATTTCAACTTGAAGAGATTCATTATATCAATCCAAATAAATAACGGTTCCTATTTCTATTGAACAAAGTTTTATTTACGTTTTTCTTGAAGAAAATATAATCTCCCTCACTCTCCCTCCCTCTCAATCACTCTCCCTCTCTCTCACTCTCCCTCTCTCTCACTCTCCATCTCTCTCACTCTCCATCTCTCTCACTCTCCATCTCTCTCACTCTCTCTCACTCTTTCTCTCTCTCTCCCTCTTTCTCTCTATCTCTCTCTTTCTCTCTCTCTCACTCTTTCTCTCTCTCCTTCTTTCTCTCTCTCCCTCTTTCTCTCTCCCTCTTTCTCTCTCCCTCTCTCTCATTCTCCCTCTCTCTCACTCTCCCTCTCCCTCTTTCTCTCCCTCTTTCTCTCCCTCTTTCTCTCCCTCTTTCTCTCCATCTCCCTCTTTCTCTCTCTCCCTCTTTCTCTCTCTCCCTCTTTCTCTCTCTCCCTCTCTCTCACTCTCTAACTCTCACTCTCTCTAACTCTCACTCTCTCTAACTCTCACTCTCTCTAACTCTTCTTTGGTTACTTTCGACATCCACTTAAACGCAAGCTTATACTATAACGATCGAACAAAAAGAACCTTTTGTTCGAACCAAATTTCCTACAGCGGGATAAATATAGTCATGGTTGAAAATTTTAAAAAAAGTGAGAAAAGAGTTCTAGGAGGCCATGGACCATAAGTTTCTTATAACTTTCTTACAGCGTGAGATTTCAAAATAATATTCGCATTAAAATTACAAACAAAAATACACGTTCAGCACTTTAAATATTTGTTTTTAGTTTCAGTCAGGCTGCAGAGCGGCCTGTGTCGTATTTTGTCTGTGTCATATAGTTCAAGAGTTTAAATTATTAAGCATATTATTAACTCTAATATCTATTATCAACTCTAATACTATTCAACTCTATTATTCTCGATCTATTATTCTCGATGTTATTTTTTATTGCGTCCTATTTTTTTCTCTAAAACTTCCTTAATTTCAAGTTTAAAAGCCTTGTTGGTTTCTTGCATCAAAACAAATGTAATGTAGAACACTAAAAATAGCGGTAGAATTTTTTAATAAGTGGAACTATTATACATATAACGACAGAATGAGCTATTATTCGGAGATCATGAACAACTGTGTGAAAAGTTTTGTTTGTTTGTTTTGTAAATCGTAATAGTTTGTTTGGTGAAATTTTTTGTTAGTCTGTAATTTTGTGTATTTAATAAACAAAACATATCTAAAAACAAATAAGTTTTAAATATTTAAACATCTTGTTGATCTATAGGATATATTCAAAAAATAATAATTTTAACAAAATGGAAAAGAAAAACAAAATTTTTATGGTTTTGCATAGAAAATTAATTTTAAAAAAAGCATTGACAATATTTTATAAAAATTCAGTTCATTATTTTTCTTCTTTTTTTACTTTTTAATGCAAAACCACTGAAAAGTTTTTGTTTTATTAAAAAAAAGGAATTAAAATGATTTTATTTCATACTTTTGTTTATTTTAAAAATAGAGATTTTTTTTAAAAAATAATTACACTTTTTATTTACAACATTTTCCAACATTTGTAAATTCGGTGCAGAGAGAGAAACTTGATTTGTGATCATATCTATTTCAACAGGGTATTACAAGAATGAAAAGTTTTCATAAATCTCTTATTAACAGAATAAATAAAAGATAGAGATTTTTTTGTATTAAATTATAAATTAAAGCTATTTAAAATATTATTTTACTTTACGTTACAGAAATTAACATGAAAATGATAAATTAATTCTTTCCTGAATTCGGAGGAAATATATTCAAATACAGGTCGGAGTTGGAGTCGAGTGCTCCGCAAATTTCTGAATTGAACAATAAATTACTGTCTCCACAGTTCTGAAAAACACAGCGAAATCATATGCAAACCTGAAAGACATATACCAACACAATTTATAAATCTATAATATTTCCTTTTTTTTTTTATTTATTGCCCTTTTCGGGGGTTTTCTCCGTTTGTCCAGAATGGGTTTCCGAAATTCCCTGTAAACCGTTTCCATATGAAAGGAAAAATTACTAAATGAATAGATTGAATACCATATATTTTTGTTTTATTACACGAAGTTTGTTTGTTTTTTTACCAGAATTGACATTACCATAAAGTACGGTAATTTTATCAGAATCCTTGCAGAATGGATTTCCGAATGGGTCCAGAATGGGTTTCCGAAATTCCCTGTAAACCGTTTCCATATGAAAGGAGAAATTGCTAAATGAATAGATTGAATACCGTATATTTTTGTTTTATTACACGAATTTTTCTTTTTTTTTACCAGAATACGGTAATTTTACCAGAATTTTTCTTCGGGGTCCAGAGGTAGAGTGATCTAACCAAAAACATGATACTAACAATTAAGGGTTCCAAACATCCCTTCAACTATTCAGACAATATTTTGTAGAGCTTCTACTCATATTTTAAGCGACAAGAACACAAATCTATTAAACAACATAAAAAAAATTCCGGATCAAATTAGGGTATAAAGTACTGGCACTTCGGGTACATCAGCTGTAAAATCCATTTTACCTAGAAGTGTAATTTCACCGTAAAATGTTATATTTTAAAGTAATATTTATTTATTTTGAGATATTACTGATTTCACGTTTCAGAACAATTATTGCTGTAAAAATTACGGAGTATCAGTTTTTTTGTTCCGTAAAATGTTCCGGTAATTCACCGTAATATTTTGCAGTGAAGCTGCTAATTTAGAGAAAGTACGTTTTTTAGTCGGATTTCATAGCATAAAATGTTGTCCGCACAAGAAATAGGGTGAGTTTTTCAAAACATTAAAATATCATTCTCAATCTGCTCAGTAGAGGAAATATTTATAATATTTTTTTTTATTTAGCACAATGTATCTGCATAACATTTTAATATAACGTCTATTGTAGTTGAGAAACTTGGACTTTTTCTTACAATTAAGTACAAAACAAACGAAAAACTTTAATTTACTTCCCCCTATCTTTAAATTCGATACAAAAATTTGCGAGATGGAATGAAAATATCAATAAACTAGTGAGCTGCTCCCCCTGCTCGCTAACGCTCGCCAACCCCCGAAAATTGCTACGCAATCTTATATGGTTTGCTTCGCAAACCAAGCTCTCTTCGCTCGCTACTAACTTAGGCACAAAGTTCTAAGAATTCAAAACAATCATTCAAATCCATAAAAAAACTTTTTTTTAAAAAAAAATTACATCTTTTTAGTAAATACTGAGTCATTAAAATAAATTTGAATTCAATGACATAAATTCGTTCGAATAAACATGTAATTCGTTAAACCTATTAGAAATGTGCTACAGTATAATTCGCGATATATATCGAAAATCGTCAAATAAATTCGTAATATATAAATTCGTGAAAAAAAGCGCTTTCGGCAAAATACTAAAATTGAGATCTATCGACAAAGGCTACTCACTTCTCCCTAGCTTAATAGTATGAGATTGCCGCAGCTGTGCTCTCTGGTTGTTTCAGTTTCCGTTTTTAAAAGCGCTATATGTTGAGCCACCTCAGCTAGATTTGGCATGTGACATTTTTAACGGCAATCATTGGTCGATTCACCGTGTAAGAGAAATAGTCACGTAAACAAAACAAAGCAAGCGTTGCCACCGGCGGAAAAGAAATACAGCCAAAATTTGGGAGCCGGGTAAGAGAATTATATATATTAGATATGCAATTACCTTTTTTTTAATTGTAAGTCAACTTTCGAATAAATGCTATAAATTTATTAGTTCATTGAAGTAATGTGGTATATTCATTTTTATTGAAAGAACATTTTTTTCAGTAAGTGAAAGTTTCAAAAAATAATCGTTGCATTAAAATCAATCTTAAATATAGGAATCTAGTGCTTGCTTGACTTGTTTTGCTGAAATGAATTTAGCCTCTTACTGTAATGGCTCAGCCTGCTTGCTGTAGTAACATATTCAAAAAATTCTCTGTATTAGCACTGAGTTCTGAAAAAAAAGTACAATGAAGATTTATTATTATAATTGGAGTTTCAGTAATAATATAAAGAAAAATCATTATTTCAAAACTCGAACTTCAATTTTAGATGTACATAAAGTGTGTACATAAAATAAGCTGCTGGATATCAATTTATTTTTTGCTTTTTAAAATAAATATGATTAAAACATAAAATAACAAATGAAAATAAGCAAATGTAGCTCAATTATAATTCCTTCATAAATTTTTCATTTTTAATATTTATCGTAAAACATCCAGTACCGTAAAACTAAAATCTCTGGAGTACATTTTGTAGCTTTACGTGATTAACGTCATTCTTATCGGTCGATCCAAAATTGATAAATAATTTCAATGGATATTAAAATGAACGGTTTGCAGTGTCTGTTTATTAAACCTGATAATACATTTCGAAAAGAAAATTAAAATTAGTTACTAAGTTCTTCAACGCAAAGTGCTCTAGACTAAGAAAAAAAAACTATGAAATAGTAGTTTCAAAATAATCAATTTGCATCAAATTAATATATGGGAATGTGGCCCACCCTATGAACTGGGGTATCTGTGGCAGTGTGGCATGGGTAATGTTGCTCGCTTTCGTGACTTAGGTTCACAGGTACCCACTGGGTAACGTTCAATAATCACACAAGGCATCTTCCGAGGTGAAGAACGAAAGTTCACTACCTGCTATTATAAAAAAAAATAGAAAGAAAGAAAAAGAAAGACATTTGTATTAATAACAAAGCGCTGTCAACCAAAAAAGCTAACGGATTCCAGTGTAAAAATCACAGTTTGGACTACTTGAAAAGTAACAGAAATTTTTTTAAACAGTTTTTTGTCAACTGCGTTATCAGTTCGCTGATTAGAAGGTCAGAGTTAAGACTGACCCTCTAATTTTGAAAAATTTGTGAAAATAAATTATCTGGCACTTTGAGCACAGAACGTAGCAATTCGTGAACTTTTATCTATTTATGTTAAACTTTAATTGTTTTTAGAAAATTTTATTCACTTTTTAAACTTCTGGTTGGAATAGATAAGGGGAATTACACTTTTTTAAAACGAAAAACTGTTTTTAATTTCTGACTCACAGATTGCAGTAAATTCTAATTTGCGGAGTAAAAACTGTTTCTTAACACTAGAATTAATTAACTGCACAGAATTTCAATTCAAATCCCAATCTCATAAACTATTAAATTTAACTGTATTTAATATTTTGATACTTTAATAATATACATTTGACTATGTAGCAGTTGTGTGAAACATAAAATTAATTTATATAGTAATAGATGTCACATTGTTTTCTTAGATTCATAAAATTCCATTTATAACAGTTGGTTTAACCATGAAATGCAATAACTGCATGACATTTAACCAGAGATGTTTGAAAAAATGCATTGAGGCTCAAAATAAGGAACACAAAATAAACAAAACATAAAGGGCATACAAAAAAGATCGAAAATTACATATGTATAAAATGCCTGGAAAAAAAATCTATTGGAGATAAACCTGGTAGCTGCCATTGAATCTGGTATTTTAGCTATCTTAAGCTATTGGAAGCCTGATTAGTGCTCTATCGACTTGTAGCATAATCAACATACAAGGTTCAAGTACCAAAGTTAGTGACCTGGAGAACCAATATAATCTTCCTGAAGTATAACGAACAGAACAGAATTTCAAGTGAATGAAATGTTATAAGTACCATCGTAAAATTTTGTTCCTTCTGTCTTTCCGCTCTACTTTACATCTATTCTTATGTTCTACGTCTTTGATTATAGTCTTGGATGCTTTTAATTTAGTTGTTAAAATGTTATTAAAGTTATGTTTGAATTTCACGTTTCTTCTTTATTATCTTTAACGAATAACCTATCTAAAATGCAGAATTTAATGCACGCAAACCAATCTTGCCAAAGATTTTAAAATGCGTTTCTGTTCAATAATTAAATTCTGAACGCAAAAATTACTGCAGGTTAACATTAGGGAAATAAAAATATTTTTTTGTTTTGAAGGGGACCCTTAATCACAATTAAAATATTCCGAGAAAATTTTTATTTGATAATATTTAAAAATCCATTCGAAATTGCTATATTCATCTGTAGTTTTCGCTTAAAAGGTGATTTAAAATTTCGAAATCTGTATGGCATTTCATTATTATCTTTAAGAAACAAAAGTTATTTAAAATACATATTTTGTTCAATTTAGGCTTCAAAAAACCAAAGAACTTATTTTTTAAGGAATAAAATCATTATACTTACCATCATCTTGAGCCATTGCTGAAAAAAATATTGAATATTTTGTTAATTCAAAACAATCCAACAATGTATAATTATAATATTTTGTTTCTTATTGTAGCTACCAGAAAATAATAACAGAGAATGAAACTTAGTATATCCATATTGCCCCAAAACAGTCAAAATGACAGGATTGTGAAAGAATAACTAATGTGAAAAGAAATTTGTTTAAAATTAATTTTTAATGTTTTTTATATTATTTACAGTTATATAACAAGTTATTAGCAAATATTAAAAATAAAAAAAAATCATATGTTGCACAAAGGCCACAAAATTCTAAGAAATTGTGTCATTATATACAGCATTGCTGGTCTAATTGAAATTTAAAAGCAGTCAAAATGACTTCCTTGGCAATCTAGTGTTAAATTTAATTTTAATTCCTCGAAAGCTTTTTGTGATACCTTGTGTTTTTATAATAATATTCATTTAAAGTAATAGTTGAATCGTTATTATTATTGCAATTATATAATTAAAATAAATTATCTTTCATACCAATAAGGGTTTTAAGTAGGGTTTAAGTAAATTTCTTGTGCTCCAAATGTGAATTCTTTTTATTTTATCTCTAGAGTTACACGCATAATTCATATAGAATTTGCAGCTACATACGTGTGAAGTTCAAATCTGTAGCCTTGTATTTTTTAACTTAAAACTGACAACATGACATTTATATATTCAAAGTATTTAATAATTTTGGATTAGTTGATAAGACTTAACTGCATGGTTAACTGTGATTTTACCATGTTTTGATTACATGTTTTTCCATCTGATAATGCTTTTACGGAAATAGAGAAAAAAAAAAGCAAAATAAAATTTTCAATATTTTGCATTATTTTTCCTCAGAAAATTAAACTTCTTCATGTATGTTCAAGCTTAAATCTTTATAAACTAGTCTTCGACTGTCCTTAAATTAGCCGAAGATTTTAAAAATTGACTTAAAAAGCAGAAAGGAAATAAAAATGTATGATGATGCCATTTTCTGCTTAAGAAACCAGATTAATTATTTTCCCATAATATCAGTATTAGTTACAAGAATCGTAAACAGGTCCCGCTGATAAGGGAGAAAAAGAAGTATTGATCAATGTTTTTTAAGTAACCATCATTTGTGTTAATACCATACGCAGTTTATGGAATAAATTTATACCTACCAGTAGAAATGCTTCAGTTAGGAAGAAAAAAACATTGGTCTAGAGTTTTTCTAGTTAGAAATACCATTTTTTAACGAACTTTAAAACTATGTTGATTTTTTTTTACATAGAATAAACCTTGTTTCCTGAGCAGTTGCTTAAAGCTTACATTTGTATATCCTTTCCTTTTGGTTTCAGTGAATTTTTAAAACTCAGGTACATCTGTTACTCTCTAAATGTATGATAGAGGTATTAGTGAAAAATGAATAGTTTTTGGATTGGCTGGATAATAAAAGAAGCTCCAGATGTCATTCGAATCTATGAATTGTCCGAGTGGACTTTAAGAGCCCTGAACATAAATTAACTACCTGAAATGACTAATATTATTGACAAATACATAATTTTTAGTGCTGATGATGATCAATTTCATGTGTCATTTGATTTCAATTTCCAATTTTATTGTATGGCGCTCAGAAATTTAATTGACAATTAAAAGCTAGTTTGCTCAACCCCAACTCTTAAGCACTTTTCAAAATTATTGCTCAATCACATTTATCTCGCTTTTTTATGGTTAGCCCATTTCTTCAAACAGAACAACAAAGTTTAAAAATTTATTAATATTAATATTAATATAACGTAAAATAATTGCAGAAAATACTATTGAAACCGAAATAATTGCTACATAACTTCATGATACTTCAAACTAGTTTTAAAAATTTTTTAAAAAGCCGTCTCTTAGGCTCGATTGAGTTAGACTCGTTCGACAATCAGTTAACGAATTTTGCAATGCATGCTAGAAACACAGTTAAAGCCCCATTAGATTCAGATTATTCCGTGAAGAATTCAGCTGTTGTTTAACTTCTGTCTGCTGTAACTGGGAAATAGATTGCGGTCATCACCAAGGTAATGTTTGTAATTGAAATCAGCCTTTATAATTTAAAGCCAAAGTTATTTTTATGTTAATAAATTGGAATACGTGTTGCTTTTCGTGGAAGAATTACAAACATTGAATTTTGAATGATTTATATTGATATTGATGATTTATATGATTTGGATGATTTATAT